AACTGATCCACTCAGGAGCAAAAGTCACTCAATCCTATTGATAGATTTCCAAGGTATTATTTCAATGGCAAACTGAAAATCTCTGCAAGATGCTTGTAACAGACCAATCAAAAGGCAGGGTGTGCCTCAACCAATTATTTTGGCAGAATTACAATCCCAGGGACAAAAAGGGCATATATAAGAAAAACCTATTGCACTGCAGCTTATTTCTAAAGAAAATGGTTGCATGCCTGGTGTATAGTAAGGAACTGACCCACAAAAGCAAGTATCTTTTAAATGTTCCTTTTTTTATTATGAAAAGTTATACATATATAGAAAGGGATAGAGAATAAGCACCTATAACAATGGTCCACAAGAATTAGCCACATTTTTTTAAAGGAATGAACTGTTAAGGATATCTCCCTTTGCACCCTTTCCCCAATTTAATTTTTCCTCTCCAGAAGTTAGCATTGCCTCAAATTCGTTGATTATTTTCATGAATCCTATTTCTATGTAGTATTTACTCATGGAAAATATATAGCATTGCTTTGCATATTTTCACTTTATATAAACAAGTGATACAATATCACACAGAAGCCTTTCAAGTTCAATTTTATTAATATTTTCTTGAGATTTAGCCATGTTAATATAAGTATCTTACTTCATTCTTCTTATATTCACCCTAATGGTTATTTTAATTTTTTTCAAATTTTCATTCTCACAGTGCTTCAATGCACCTTCATTTATGTATCCCTGCACACAGGACTCTCCAAGGGTGTAATTTTAAGCATGGAATTGGAAGGTCAATAGTATTCACAACTTTACAAGATATTACCAAATTGTTCTAAATCCTACTACTTCTAATAGCACTGTGTGGCAGTTCCTATCATTCCACATCTTTTCTATCATTGGTATGGTTTTAATTTTTGCCAAAATGAAAATTTTATGCTTTTGAAATAGTTATCTTGCATCTCCCTTACACTAGTGAAGGAGCTCTGGTAGCACAATGACTAAGGCATCTGACTGCTAACCAGAAGGTTGGTGGTTCAACCCCACCAGCTACTCCATGGAAACAAGTTTGGGCAATCTACTTCCACAGAGATTTACTGCCTCGAAAACCCAGTGGGGGTTGCTATGAATTGGAATCCACTTGATGGCAGTGGGTTTGGTTTTGGTTTTACACTAGTGATGCAAATAGTCAACTATTTTATTATTATTGTGATCTGGGTGAAAGTTTACAGAGCAAAATGATTTTGCATTCAACTATCACATACAATCTTGTTTCGTGACATTTATTGCAATCCTCACCCTGTAACAGCATTTCTTTCCTTCTTGCACCCACCCCTTCCCTTCTCCTTCCTTCCCATCCTCTTATGCTTTCCTAGCTCTATCCCTGGTTAAATGCTGTCTTCTTGATCTCTTATGATTGATTGTTCTAACTAGTGCATACCCTGCTGATATTACTGTTCAGCTTCAGCTCCTAGCCTGAACGGTTTCAAAGGGTCATACCCTAAGGGTTTCAAAGGGTCATACCCTAAGGGATTCCACTTCATCAGACCAGTAACCCTGAATCTTTTTTTTTAAAAAAATAATATTTTGTTCTCCTTTTCCTCCACTCTATCTGGGACCTCTTGTGATCCCTTTCAGAGTGTCAGCAATGGTAGCTGCACAGCATCTAACTCTTCTGGTCTCAGGGTCATGGAGGCTGGGTTTCACATGCTCAATTTGTCTTTTGGACTACTTGTTTCCTGCATCTCTAATTTTCTTCATTCTTCTTTGCTCTAGATGGGGAGAGACCAATAGTTGCACCTTAGATAGCCACACCCAAGCTTTTAAGACCCTAGTTGCTACTCACCAATGTTGGATGTAGAACATTGTCTTTGTGGACTATGTTATGCCAATTGTTAATTATTCTTACACCCTCAAATTCATCCTTCCTCCACTGGCATGAAATGCCATTTTTATCATATGCAAGATTTATACAAATAGATCATATTAAATAATTTTCTTGCTATTCTTAAGAAGCTACACTTCATAGATTAATTTCAGAACAAACTTGTGAAATTAAAGGGAAAAAAATGCCCATTGTGGAATTTATCTGGAATTGCAGTGAATTTGTGAATTAGGAATAATGGCCAACTTTGACTCTTGAGTTTTTTCAGCCTAGTTCTGTTTATATTTTTATTATTTTGCAGTTTTCTGAGGTTAAAAAAACTTATTATTTTCTATTTAAATATTACTATTAAATATTTAATATTTAAAGGGAGCTCTGGAAGTGTAGCTCCTAAGGCACTTGACTACTAACCAGAAGGCTGGCAGTTCAAATCCACCAGCCACTCCTCAGAAGGAAGATGGGGCAATCTACTTCCATAGTGATACTGCCTGAGAAACCCAAGGAGGGGTCGGCTATGAGTCGGTCTGACTCAAAGGCCCATAACAACAACAACAACATTAAATATTGGGAGCTCTGGTGGCATAGTGCCTAAGGCATCTGACTGCTAACCAGAAGGCTGGAGATTCATACCCACAAGCCACTCCTCAGAAGGAAGGTTGGACAGTCTACTACAGTAGTGATACTGCCTTGGAAACTCAAGGAGGCATTGCTAAGAGTCAGATAAATCTTCCTAAGTATTTATACTCTCAGCCTGGACGATTTAACCATTTTAGGGCATGGCCTTTGCATGCTCATTGTCTCCTCATCTCCAAAACATTGTCTGGAAAACTGCTGTGTGCCGTTGAGTCAATTCCAACTCATAGCAACCCTATGTGACAGATTAGAATGGCACCATATGGTTTCCTGGGTTGTCATCTTTACAAGAGCAGATTTTCCAGTTTTTTTTTCTCCCACAAAGCAGCTGGTGGGTTCAGATCACTGAATTATCAGTTACCAGCTAAATCTTTAATGATTGTGCCACCAGGGGACCTTTGGCAAATGGTAACTACTCAATATTCAGTAAATGAATGAAAACCTATTTTGTTATATATCTGTACTTTTCCTCCCTCAATTCTCTTTTGATTTCAGTTTTGCAGCAAGTGGATAAAAACCAAAACTTCCCACTTTTTCTATGCTCTGGAACAGTTTAAATGTTTTAGAAACCACCTGAATGATTATATGAATATACAATTACCTGGGCTCAGCATATATATATATATATATATATATATATATATATATGACAGTATGAATATCCATGTATATTGTGTTTTTATTGTTAATTGTGATATACTGTAACTTCAATGTAAATTCTATATTTTCTTAGTGAATCCCAATTTTCCTTATTTTAATTATGCATCCAATCCATTTATTTTCATACAATCTGGCCTCTAGGATTATTTGCTCAGCATACAGATTGAATAAGTATGGTGAAAAGATACAAAACTGACACACTCCTTTCCTGATTTTAAACCATACAATATCCCCCTTGTTCTCTTTGAATGACTGCCTCTTGGACTATGTACAGATTCTGCATGAGCACTATCAGTGTTCTGGAATTCCTATTCTTCACAATGTTATCCATAATTTGTAATGATCTACACAGTCAAATGCCTCTGCATAGTAAATCTCCTCATATGCATCCAAAAGTTGGACAGTGAATAAGGAAGACCAAAGAAGAACTGATGCCTTTGAATCATGGTATTGGTGAAGAACATTGAGCATCATGGATTACAAACAACAAATCTGTCTTGGAAGTGCTAGAATGCATCTTAGAAGAGAGGAAGGCAAAACTTCATCTCATGTACTTTGAACATGTTATCAGGAGGGACCAGTCCCTAGAGAATGACATCATGCTTGGTAAAATAGAGGGTAAGAGAAAAAGAGGAAGGCCATCAATGAGAAGGACTGACAAAGTGACTGCAACAATGGACTCAAACATAGCAACAACTGTAAGGATAGCACAGGACTAGCAATGTTTTGTTTTATTGTACATAAGATATCTATGAGTCAGAACCAACTTGATGACACCTAACAACAACAACAAAAATAACAATAGCCATTCTTATTAGAAACTTCCTAAAACTGATTATAAGCATTGTTATTCTACTATGTGTGTTGATATTCATTACTCACCTAAGGTACAAATACTCCCACTTACGTTCTAAAATCTTTAACTTTTCCTGTTCTGACCTGCTGCTTCCCAGAGTTGCTCTACTTGTCTACCAAGAAATCTGTTTTTCAGCTATGAGGAGTAAATGAATTAATACATGTTGAGTATTTTAAATAGTGCCTGGTACATAGTGGGCACTCAGTATATGTTAGTTATTACATAAAGCATTTTGTGAAATACTTTACATGCAAATTTCTCATTTATTATGCATCAATCTACAACAGACAGTAATATTTCATTTAAAATTCACATTTCTACAATACAGCATCATTTCTTATCTCTATTTTAAGAATTAAACAGAACTTTGAGTTTTAGTAAGACAAGCAAATTGCTGAAAGTCTTACAGTGCCACAGTAGTGGCAGAGCTATGATTTTCCAAAATCTAACTTCTCAGTCCTCAGAAGTGTCTAGTGCCCAGAGAGGGAGATTGAAATAAAAGTTAAAATATATGTAAGAATCAGACAATGGAGAGCTGTACACACAAATTTAAAGGCTGTGGACATTAGCCAAAGAAGAATAAAACAAACAGAAAAAAAAAATTGTTGCCATCAAGTCAATTCTGACCAATAGTGACCTATACGACAGAGTAGAACTGCCCCATAGGGTTTTCAAGGCTGTAATCTTTACAGAAGCAGACTGCAACATCTTTCTCATGTGCAGTGGCTGGTGGGTTTGAACCACCAACTTTTCAGTTACCAGCTGTGTGCTTAAATCACTGTGCCACCAGTGATGTGTGTGTTCTTATACTTTAAAAAGATCAGTTTGGGTACCTTGTGGCAATGGATTTAAGGAGGGAAAAGCAGATACAGGAAGGCCTGTTAGAAAACCACAGCAGTTGTCCAGGTGAGATGAATCTTAGGTGAGGGTGACAACATTAGAGAAAAAAGAATATATTCTACATTTAGAAGATAGGAGCTATAGGATTTGGTGACTAATTGGATCGGGTTGTGAAAGTGACTCCCCACTGTGAATTTTCTGATGATGAGCAAGGTGTGCATGCTGTCTAAAGGTTTTTTTGCATTCCTTACATTCATAGGGCCTTTCTCCAGTATGAATTCTCTGATGTTGGGCAAGAGACCCACAGTAACTAAAGGCCTTCCCACAAACATTACATTCATAAGGTTTTTCTCCAGTATGTACCCTCTGATGTTGAGTGAGGGACGAGTCATTGCTAAAAGCCTTCCCACATTTAATACATTCATAGGGTTTCTCTCCTGTATGAACTCTTTGATGTTGAGCAAGGTATGCAATCTGGCTGAATGCTTTCCGACATTCCTGACATTTATAAGGTTTTTCTCCAGTATGAATTCTCTGATGTTGAGCAAGGTGTGAATTCTGGCTAAAGGCTTTCCCACATTCCTTACATTCATAGGGTCTCTCTCCAGTATGTATTCTCTGATGTACAGTAAGGTATGCACGAAGGCTAAATGCTTTTCCACAGACATTGCACTCATAAGGTTTCTCTCCAGTATGAACTCTCTGGTGTTGAGCAATGGAAGATCTATTGCTAAATGCTTTCCCACATTCAGTACATTCATAGGGTTTCTCTCCAGTATGAACTCTCTGATGTTGAACAAGGTAGGCAAACTGGCTAAAGGCTTTTCTACATATCTTACATTCATAAGGTTTTTCTCCAGTATGAACTCTAAGATGTTGGACTAGATGTGCATTCTGACTAAAGGCTTTCCTACATTGCTTACATTCATAAGGTTTCTCCCCAGTATGAATCCTCTGATGTTGAACAAGATTTGATCTCTGGCTGAAGGCTTTTCCACATTCTACACATTTATACGGTTTCTCTCCAGTATGTATTCTTTGATGAAGAGTAAAGGATGAGCTCTGGCTGAAGACTTTTTCACAGTCATTACATTTCAAAAGCTTCTTCTCTACAAAGACACTCTCAGGATTAATGATCGTTAATTTTTTTCTGAACCTTTTCTTATATGTGTTGGGTTTATGTACTTTCTCCTCTTCAGGAATTATCTGTTGTGTATAAAACAATGTGTTCTGATAGAAGCTACCCCAAGACTTGTTATATTCCTGTTCTCTTTTATCAACAAGGGTTTCTTCATGGGTGATTGTCTCTTCCTTGAAACATGACTTCGGGTTTCCTGGTTGCCTCTTAAAATGGCTCTCACATTCCCACTTTTCTCTCAAACTGGAGTACTCAAGGTCATAGCTTGTAAATTCTTCTATTATATTCTGGGATGATTCTTCTTCATATATGACCTGTTGTGGGGTTAATTCTTCAGTCTCACACATAGATTCCCAGCCTGAAAAATCACAAGAAAAGTTTCCTCTATTACGTACCACAAAATGAAGCATATGAATTTAGTAGCATATAAAACTTACAAAAGCATTACTTTCATAGTTCTTAAATATACAAGAACACAAACTAAGTTGCTCACACAGAAATTACAGGATAAATAAATTATTACACAATCACTAAACTTCAGGACAAGAAGGAATTATGGAGCTGGTCTGGACTCAGTTAAAATTTTATGCCTGTATTAATAATACAGGCACTGAAATAATCACCAATCTTATAGCTGCTTCATTCAAGAACCCTCATTGAACAAATATTTGCCTTATGCCAGGTACTCTAGATGCTTTCAATATCCTAGTAAACATAACAAAGATTCTTACCTTCATGGACTATAGTCTTGGGGAGACAGAAAATAAAAGTTAAATGGTAAGTATATGTTATTACAATGTTACAAGGTACTAAGTGCTACAAAAAGAAAAAGAAAAGTAGAGTAAAGGAGATAAGAACATAAGGGAAGTCAAAAGTAAGAATCATTGATAACATTTAAGCAAATATTTGAAGGAAATGAAGAAGTTAGTCACTTAGATATCTGGGGAAAGAATACTCTGGGAAGAAGAGCTCGTTTAAAGGCCACAAAGTAAATGCATGTCTAGTAATTTTGAGGAAAAGCAAGTAGGATAAAGTAGCTAGAGGGGACTGGGTAGTAGGAACAGAAGTCAGGGAGGTAGAGCAGATTAAATAACCAGATTATTTAAGCCTTACAGGCCCATGGAATCTAACTCTTACTCTGAGTGAAATGGAAAGCCACTGAAGTATTTTGAGTAAAGGAGTAATATCTGGTTGCTGTTTTATGAATATACTGGAAGGTGAGGGCAAAGGGAAAAGCAAGAAAACCCTTTATTATATTAATCCAAGAGAGAGATGATAGTCATTCAGAACAGTGAAATATCAAAGGAGTATAGGAGGTCTGGTGGCGTAGTGCCTAAGTCATTTGACTGGTAACCTGAAGGCTGGCAGTTCAAACCCACTAGCTACTCCTTGGAAGACTGAGCAATCTACTTTCATAGTGATACCACCTCAGAAACCCAAAGAGGGGTCGCTATGAGTCAGATGTGATTCTATGGGAGTTTTTCTCCCCCCCCCCTTTGTTTGAAAGAAGTATAATGACGTGGTCATATATTCTGAATATATTTTATAGGTAGAGCCAAGAGCCACTGGATATGGAATGGGACAGAAAAATAGGAGACAAGCATATCTTCAAAGTTTATGGCCTGACTACACCCAGTTACCCAGAGGGAGTGAGCAGGCGGACCTGTGGGCCAGGGACCATGGTTGCAGGGGACATCAAACTCAACTCATAAATACTACACAAAAAACTATTCCACATCCTACTTTGGTGAGTAGCATCTGGGATTTTAAAAGTTGCAATCAACCATCTAGATGCAACAATGTTTTTCTCCTCATTCAGAGCAAAGAAGAATGAAGAAAACCATAGACACATGGAAACAATTATTCCAAGGGACGTGTACACCATGTGATCCTCAGCCTATATGACTATGACACCAGAACTAGATGGTGCCCAGCTACCACTCTCAGCTACTTGGAGAGGGATCTATGTAGGAGATCCTGGACAGAGTGGGATAACAATATGGAACAAAACTCAAAATCATTAAAAAAAAAAAAAATAATAAAGACCTGGTTTTCTGGTCTGATAGAGCCCAGTGGGACCCCTGACGCTATGGCCCCCAGATGCCTTTTAAGTCTGGAACTGAACCTACTCCTGTGGCTTCCAGCCAAACAAAGACATATATGAGCTGAACATTTATATTAGGTAGATACACTCCTTGGGGAGATCAATCATGGGAGAAAAGAAGGGCTGTGTATGCACAAGCAGACAGCTGGAGAGGGGAGTGCATGAGAGTGAAGGACACAGAGAAGAGGTGGCTATGGGGAAGAATTGGGAGGAGAGCTGTTGCACTGTGGGAGACTGCAGTCAATGTCATGAGGCAAAATGTATGTGAACTGCTGTATGGAAGATGAATTTGCTCTGCAAACTTTCACCCAAATTACAATAAAAATTAAAAAAAAAAAAGAGAGAATTTTATGGCCTGAGCAATGAAAGGATGGCATAGTCATCAACTGTAATGGATCAGAAAGATGCCATTAACAATGGCAACAACAACCTAGAGAGAGAAAAGAGAAAACCCAGATATGAACTTTACAAGAAATGAGTAAAAACTTTAAAATTGTAATGAGAGAGAAGAAAAAAGAAAAAAAAAAAAAAGGTTTGAATAAAAGGAGATGCAAATTTTTTTTTGTATGTTAAGGAGCTCTGGTGGCACAGGGGATAAGGCATTTGGCTGCAAAACAGAAGGTCAGCAGTTCAAACGTACTAGCTGCTCCATGGAAAGAAGATGGGGCAATCTAATTCTGTAAAGATTTACAGCCTCAGAAACCCAGTGGGGGTCGCTATGGGTCAGAATTGACTCGATGGCAGTGAGTTTGGTTTTTTGGTTTAAATGAAGACTAAATAATGACAGCAATTATCACAAAATATATCCATTATTTCCATTCAATTCCATTGAAAGCCTCACTGTGGTTTTTAACAGATTGTTATTATTATTTTTTTTTTAATCCTCATATTCATAAAGAAGTAAACAAGAGTGAATTGTCTGGAAATTTTTTTCAAAAGTGAGGGGTGATTTTAACCATGAAGCAAGAGAACTGAAAATAGCATGGCTGGGACACTGTCTTAGTTATTCTTATTGTTGTTGCTATGTCCTGTCAAGTTGTCTCTGTTTTCCCCAATTCATAGTGACCCCTCCTTGAGTTTCTGAGGCAGTATCACTATGAAAGTAGATTGCCCAACCTTCCTCCCAAGGGTTCTGCTATAACAGAAATACCACAAGTGGAACTGCTAAACCAAATTGCTGCTTGGTCAACTGCTAAGCCATGATGACACAAATTTTGGGGGGACACAATTCAATCCATGGCATTCCACCCTTTGGCCCCAGAAATTCATGTCCTTGCCACATCCAATACACTTTCACCCCATTACAGCATGCCAAAAGACTTAAATCAACTCCAAGTACAAAATCTATCCTAGGGCAAATTCCTCTTCATCTCTCAATCTAGAATACAAGATATCTGCTTCCAAATCACAATGGTAGAACAGGCACAGGGTAGACAGAGAAAGAAGGGATAATGGCTTCAAGAAAGTAAAACAAAACAAAAATAAACAAACTCATCAAAACAATTTAACTAGCTCTCAAGGCTTAAAAATATTCCTCTGTTCTCTGAGACCATTTATGCAATGGCCCTGACCTCCAGACTCTGGCCATGTTCTCTCAACCCCTCAACCTTGGGCTTCAGTTCTGCCTTCCAGGCTGACTGGACCTGCAACTCTGCTCCCCTGGTTTTTGGGTTGGCCCATTCTCCCCATCATCTGAGTAGGAACCTTACTCCATCAACCTGGAAGGCCATATTCTTCTGTCCTTTGGAAATGGCAGCCCCACCACCTCAGCTTTTGGCAGCAGATCTGGCCCTATCCCACTCACACTCATTAGATGGCAGCCCCACACTTTGGAACCAAGTTGGTGAAGATCTGACTTTTTGAATCCTACCAGGGTGTGATGGCTCCACACTTTGAAATCCCAGAGGCCATGGTCCTTCCCTTTGAGATTGAGGCAACTCTGCTTCCTGTTTCCTTGGTCTCTGAAGAGGCCAGCATGGCCTCTGCCCTGTTCCAGGAAATGTTACAAAGCTCTTCAGTGCTACCAATTAGTGCCCAGAGGCAACACACTCTACCAGGAAGCCTCTAGCCCAAAGGTTATCAGCTCTCTTGCTCCTTAAGTCAGGAAGTTTGCTACTCCATGTCAGGCCAGTCTCTTGGTTCTGTTGGTTCTGATGCCTCTCCCACTGCCATCTTTCTGTGGTCTCTCTGCCATGTCTGGTGTTACAACTCTCTTCACTTCCTTCTGAGCTGACACCAGAATTGTCTTATATGTCCATAATTCCACCAACAGTCTCTTCAAGGCAGTCTAGGCATTTACTATTAGGTAACTTATAACTCTTCCAGCTTCTATTCGTTACCCAATTCCAAAACCACTTCCACATGTTAGGTATCTGTTACAGCAGTATCCCACTCCTGGTACCAAATTCTGTCTTGTTAAATAGTGGTGCTGTCACACAAATATCACACATGGATGGGTTTAACAAACAGAAATATTGTCTCACAGTTTAGCAGGCTACAAGTGTGAATTCAGAGCACCAGCTCTAGGGGAAGCACTTCTCTCTGTTTATCTTTTGATCCTAGGAGAATCCTAGTGCAGGGACCCTGGGTCCAAAGGATGCACTCTGTTTCTTGCTTCTCTTTCTTAGTAGTAATAGATCCCCCCGCTCTCTGCTCCCTTCTCTTTCCTTTTATTTCTTGTAAAATAAAAGGTATTGCAGGCCACACCTCAGGGAAGCTCCCTTATATTAAATCAGGTCTGTGAGGGAACTAAGAGTCTTACGTCCACCCTTAATCTGGGTACAGCTGATTGACTTATCACATCATGGAATATCATTCTATATCTGCCACATTACATCATTACATAATTTATAAACCATTGAGGATCATGGTCCACCCAAATTGATACAAATATTGGGGGCAAACAATTCAATCCATGACAGGTATTGTAGCAACAACTATAGTAAATAGAAAATTTAGAAACAGATCTAAGAATAGGTAAGCAAACCTGTTCATTACATTTGGGGCCATGAGAAAGACTACAAATGGAGGCTAATACAGCATATATCTAAATATTGAAAAGATATAAATCATGATGGTGTTGTTGTTGTTGTCATTTACCATTGAGTCAGACTTGACTCATAGTGACCCCTCCTTGGGTTTCCGAGGCAGTATCACTATGGAAGTAGATTGCCCAACCTTCCTTCTGAGGAGTGGCTGGTGGGTTTGAACTGCCAGCCTTCTGATTAGCAGTCAAGTGCCTTAGGCCCTACGCT